GTTTGGTCAGGTGGAGGGACAGTGAAAGAGAGGAAGACCCTTGATAAAATGGATTGATTCAGTGATTGGGATTATGTGAGTGGGTGTGTGAGACAGTGAGGTTGGCATAGAGTAGAGCAGGGTTTAGGGCTCTTGTACACAGGGTCGCTATGAGTTGCAAGTGACTCGATGACACATAGCACAACAATAACAGCAATTTTAACACATCCCAATACCCTGCTAAAGATCAAATACTGAAGTTCTAAAGTTTTCTAAATGCCTATTATTTCCAAATCATGTAAATACAGACATTCCTTAAGAGTAGCACACCTCTTTCCTAGGAGAACACTATGAAGTACTAGTATAAAGCTAGGCATTAGTAGACTGGGGGCCACAAGCCTTCTCTGCCCATTCTTATTTTTCACCACAGTCTTCTGTTTTTTAGGGAGATTTCCTCTTTCATATTATTTGGTTCAGGGAAGTCACCATTATGTGGTCCTGATCCCTCCGCAGGGTTCTCCTGTGTATCACGCCTCAGCATAATTCAGTGCATAATTCAGAGATGAGAAGTTAATGGCTCAATGTAGATGGCTAGAGAAGACATCAGAGTCAAGCCGAGTAGGCAGGCCCTGATGACATCATTGGAACTTTTATATTCAGATGTGCTGGAAGTCTGTAACAAGACTTCCTCATTAATTAAAGCAACATAGTCTTATTTTGTTTAAGCTAGTTTGAGTTGAATTTCTGTGATTTGAAACCAAAGTATTCCAAATTACTATTTTCTTTTAAAAGAAAATAATCATGATGTTACTTTTCAGAGTGTAATGCATGCTTATTTAAACACTTATAATTGAATGACACATCAGAGTTTAAGACACAGTAAGCTTAGACATTCATGTCAAACAATTCTTTATTTTTCATGATACAAATTAAAAGTGACAGATCTGAAGCTGTTAAGAAATACACAAAGTGCAGCTTTACTGACCATACAGATATTGCTCTAGATTAAGTACAGTTTTGTCAGGTTTGTTTTTTTTTTTAATGTTAAGCAACCTGTGCAGGTAAATCAACTTTGGTTTCAATGTCAGAGCAAGTAAGGAGCTTTAAAATATCCAGTTTGGCTTCTTGGTCACAAGTCCGTCATGTCAATGTGTCATCTATGATTTTTCCAAACAACCAGTCTGTTTCCTGCCCTTCTCCTGCCGCCCCTTCCAGGGCTGGAGCCGCAGGCCTCTTGTGGTGCCTCATTCATGACCCTTGTGACCAGTCTAGATCACAGCACGTAAGACAAAAAGGAAAAAAAGAGAAAGAAAAGAAAAAAGAAAAAAAAATCACGTTCTTAACCACAAAGGAAGGAGTGTGCCTCACATTATTTCAAGTTGAAGACAAGCAAATCACACGACAAAAAAGCTCATCATAAAATGTCATCCAAACAGATTTTACAGTCAAACATTGAAATGAAAATCAATTTCCTTTTTCTTCATTTTTTTTTAAGCTTGGTCATTAACTGGGTACAAGTAGAGTGCTGAGGTAAAACATTGATGAACAATTTGTATTTCTTTTTTCTTTTCTTAAAATAGGAACAGTTTAGTATTGCAAGATTGTCAGCAACATTTAGCCATATCTATACAATGTGCATATACCTACAAACATTGAGCTTTGGTCCAGCGTAGAGAAGACGAGCAAAGGCATTTTATGATTTTTTTTGGTTTTTTTTTGGTTATAGCTTGAGTTCTTTGATACGCCTCTACTTGTTTTTCCCCCTAGCTCCTTTTGCTTTCTTGTTCTCTCTTTTTTGTATGTGCATGTGTGTGTGCATGTTTGTGTGGTGTGGTTATAACATAAAGAAACTAAAATTTTGCAATGCAATTAACCCCTACCTGTTCAAAACGGTTTTGGCAAACCAACCAACCCTCATATACAAGTGTAAAATATAGCATCAGTTGGCTTTTTTTTTGTCAAGTAATGAAGAAAAAGACAATAACCTTGAAAATATAAAAAATATTGAAGTTTGAAATACAACCTCATATACCTGAAGTGGCTTTTACATTTTCTTGGTGGCCGCCTCAACCTTCAGTTGATGGAAACATAATTTTAAATGCAATTAGTATATGAAGTTGTTTACAAGTGGAGTTAAGAAGTGTCATAATAAAATTAAGCAATAAATGTGGTTTCAAAGACCTAGGAATCACACATTATCATTTATATTCCTAAGAATCTGTTCAGGCACCTTTTTATGCCATGTAGCAAAAAATTTGTCTGTAAAAAATTAATATAAGAAGCATTACAACACCTTATAAATAATTTATAAAACAATACAAAACTATAAAATTATAAAAAATCACTGCACATGAATGGTTTTACAACTGTGGAATGAATCTTTCTTTTCTGTTCCACTCTGGAAGATTACATTTATATTATATTTTCACTGTGGTGCTTAATACTCTTCCAGTTATAGATCTCAGAACTGAGCAAGACTTATATAACTGCTGCCAGCTTACACTTAAGTGTTTAGGATCCACCAGGTGTTACTTATTTCTCTTCTTGGAGAGCTTTTCTTGATGGATTTTGGAGCAGGTCCTAGAAGAATACAAAATCTATTTTAATCAATAGATGACTCGGTTACTAGTATTTGTGCAGTTTTTGAGGAGACAAAATGGGCACCATGATGTTGTTGGCATTGAAGATTAAGCTAGCTACTCTGGTGAACTTGTGAAACGGAAACACCTTTAAAAGCATCTGGTTCCACTTTCAGAATTTTGCTTTTTGTTTCTTTGCAGGTGGCCTCCTGATTGCTACCAGAATCCATCTAGGAGGGATACTAATACTGTAGTATTTACATAACCAGCAAAGAAGCCAACAAGAAAAACACAAATCCAAAAGGCATGTGGCTGTATTAGGTGAAGAAGATGGCATTTCTAAACCATTGGAAAAGTTGAGGTGAGGGCTTTTGCTTCAAACATGAATTTATTTTTTTTATCTCCAATTAGTGTGTCTAACCATTAAATGTATGGTTATTACTTAATCTTTCAGAAATAACTACATTTCAACAGCAGGTGAATGGGAGCTCGGGTGGCAGAATCCTTTGCACAGCTCACAAAGGTGAAGCCTCTCTGGCAACGAGCGAGGAAAATGGACAATCTTCTTGGGTGCAATTTACAGCCTCTGAAACCCCTGGATGGTTAACTAATTCAGTTCAGACTCTACAACAATGAGGTTTTTGAGCCTTGTAACCAGACACCTTCTAACTGTAGGAGCGAACTTTTGAGCCTTGTAACCAGACACCTTCTAACTGTAGGAGCGAACTGTTAACTATCTTGACTTTTCCGTACTTCCTTCTGGTTTATGAGGTCACGAGCCACAGATTCTTTGAGTAAATTAATTTTAAAAGAAAAGAGCCTTAAGTTCCAACAGTGAGGCTATCCCAATGTGTTTTATAAGCCACTTCTCTTAGTTTTTCTTTCAATAGATATTTCACTGTTAAAACTTTCCTGTAAGAATGCTTTCCCCAATTCCAGTGATTTGAATTTATCTGCTAACTTTCTGCTCCCCTGATAGATCTGTCTCATGAGTAATCCCTGCCAACCCAAAGTCTTTGTGCTGTTGGAATGAAAGAAGTAGCAGCAAAGAAGAGATTAACAGGATCTACATGATAACCTTTAAAAATCTTGTCACCAACCCTCTCTCTCTGGACTGTTTCTCTCTCTGTGTGTGTGTATGGGTGTGTGCATGCTATGTATGTATTTTAACTGAAACCTTGAAACATTTCTTTGGCTATCAGACTTCTGAGAGAAATTGCTTTGCACAGAAGCATAACATAGATCTAAGTATTGAACCAAATGTGCAGCTTATGTTTATATTACAAAATTAGTTTTGGTCAGCTCTCCATGTACGTGGCCAACGGACTGAGAAGAATCCCAAGCTCTAGTGTGGACAGTGAACACAATTACAACTTACGCCAGTGTTGACAGTTCATTGAGCAAAGCCTTAGTGATTGTGGAGTCTCTTACTGCATTTCTCTAGGATCTGAGAGGAAAAGACACTTTGTTCCTCCCCATTTTTGTGACCTTCCAGTTGTGTGCCTGGGGGCCACATGCCAGGGAGATAGAAATGGAGGAAGGAAGAGAAATGTGAGCTCCATTTCCTTCTCTCAAACTCACAAGTCTGCCCCCCTTTACTCACTCACTCACTCACTCACTCACACACCCCCAAAAAATATAAAAAGAAAAAAGAATCCCCTTCCCCCACTCAAAAAATTCCAATAAATGAGCCTTACAGAATGGCTACAGTGACACCCCTTGCATGATGACAGTAGATGGGAGAGGTGGGAGAAATCAGGCTTCATATTGTCCCATTAAGTACAAATGTAAAAATCCGTAACAGGACTCTACACGCAGATAAGAGTAGATGAAAAATGCGTTTGCAAAGCCATGTTTCCGACTTTGGTTAGTAGGTTTTGCAGTCAATCAGCACTTGGTACCTGAAAGGATGCAGTTTTTCCTCCAGGTGGCAGGCTTGCATTCACTTTTAACAGGTAAAAAGTTTGGCTCCTTGTTTTGTTGTTGTGTGTATGTATGTGTTGGTGGTTGGGTTGGGTTTGTTTGGCCCCCCCCCCTTTCATTTTTGGTTTAGCTTTGTTTTTCTTTTTCCTTAAAAGTGTTCACATTTTCTCAATATACAGAAAAGATCATGTGGTTATTTGGTTTGCTTTGAGTCCATTAAAAAAATGCTTTGGGGAGACAGGTGGGGAGAGGGAACTAGCCTACCACACACACCTTCCATGGGGTGTATTCCTTGTTTAAAAATTCTCAAAAAATTGTGTTTGTTTGCTTGCTTGAAAACCAATGGACACATATAAACCATCCTGTCCATCTGGTAGCTTTCTTAGTCCTTGACTCCCAAGGCTGGGACTTGTTTTTTGTTTTGTTTTGCTTTGTTTTTGATTTTGAAACTTGTTTGACGTCCCAAGGATGGAGAGGTGTGTCTGTGACTTTTCCTTTGACGATGTGCTGGGTGCCTCCTTAGGAGTTTTCTTCCAGAGAATCAGTTAAGGGCTCCCGAGGGACTGCAGAGGCAGGTTCATGCTGTTTTAAGCGTTTGATGGTGTTCTTCAGGGCTTGCCTCTTATTGCAGAACCAAACTCTAACTACTTCCCGGTCATAGTTCAGCTTCTCAGCAATTTCGGTCATTTCCTGCCCAGAGGGGTGTGTGTTCTTCTCAAAGTGGGCATTGAGGATCTCAAGGGCCTGGGGTGTGAAGGAGGTGCGCCGCTTGCGCTTTTTGGACGGCTCACTCCCGATAAACTCGGTCAGGTTCTGCACACCTGCGCGATGGCGGGCCTCAGCCTCAGCCATCCACCGCTCAAGCACCGGCTTGATCTTCTGGGCACTTTTAGGGGTGATGTCCAGCTTTTCAAACCTGGCAGGATACAAAAGGCCAGGGTTCAGTTTGGCTGTCAGACTGCTAGCTATAGTGTTCTCTTGGGCTTCCTGTGGTAGGAAAAAGTGGCTTCTCAGGATGGTGTGTCTGGGGGGGAAAATTGAGAAAGAACAGTCTTACACTGAGTCCTCTGCCAGGGTGGGCTCCTGCCTGCCTGCCTGACTGACTGGCAGAGCTAATTCACCGCAGAGTAACAGCCAGCTGCACTGTGGCCACTCCCCCCACCCCCAGCCAAGGCCTGCCCTCCCCACATGCCTCATGCCAGAGCATGCAACCTCAAACCCCGAACAACCGAGAGATCTGCTTCTTAGGGGGGACCACAAGACACATGGATATTACAATGGAAAAAGTGAAAAAAAAAAAAAAATAACCGCCCCAACAACTCAGGTTGTTTGCTGTCAACTCTGGGATCTAGGTTTTGTTTTCACTGTACCAGCAGCCCTTTGTCTCCAGTCCTTAGAATCCATAAGGTAATACCACTTGAAAGTGCCCTTTCATTTAAAATTTACCCTCACATACTTTAATTTCAAACGGAGACGTTTCAAACTGAAGGCACCAGGTCAGCCATAATGACAGGGGCAACTTGCGTTTCCAAAAAGCAAAGGTCAGATAGAAACCATTTGTTTAAAGAAGAAGGGTCAAGATGTAAACAATTTGTTCCAGGGCTGGGGTGGGGGGTATGTTCTGGACTGCAGTTATGTCTAACCGAACAGCCTAGCCCACTCACCTAGGCTATCTCTCTCCCTCCCAGCCAAGTTGCTGACCTTTACATTTCAAAGGACTTCAAGCTGAAGCTGATCTTATCTATAATCAATCATTAACCCCCTACCTTTCCTTTGTTCTCTAAGTATATAAGACCCCATCTCCATTTGAACTTCTGTGTGCTTTGCATTTTTATTTGGCATTGGCCATCTCCAGTTGTATTATTCCTCAGCACACTTCCCTGACAGAGTGCTAGTTTTTCTTCTTTGTTGCCATTTGGCTTTCTTTACATTGCCCCCATTGACTTGGTGATGAAAACGTTATGGTTATTATAATAGCCCTGGGTGGCAAGTGGGCTGTTCTTGCTCTCTCATTTAACTCTCTTTCTCTCTTTTGGTAGCAAGCGTTTTTCACCATATGTAAGTTAACAACATACTCCTTTCCCAAGTAAAACAGAGTCAGCTGCTCCTTTATTGTTCTATGTGGACTGTTGGACACATTGTAATGACTGTGAACACCCTGCCCAGATGCCGAGGCCCCTCACGCTTTCCGAGCAGGTCCTGCATAATGGTGTGCTTTGCACCAGGGCATCAAGCTGTGTTTAATGTGTGATATCTGCAAACTGTACTTGAATGATATCATTTTCTGTAAATGAGGTCTACTAGATTTCAATTGCCATCAGCTATTCTTTGCTACATTGACTTGAAAAAATATGAAGCGTCTTGGGCAAAATTATATAGAGCATTTTAAGGGGTCATCTCAGTACCAAATTCACCCTTACTAGTTTTGAATACAAAACCATACCTATTCTTTTTGATTTGTTTGCTTATTCCAAATTCAAATTCACAACTCTCCAGCATGACTTTAGTTACACAGAATTCCCTTTGCTCTGTTAAAGTGTTCAATGGTGGTGAAAAACATAAATCTGATTGCGGACTGCATCTTACTACAATGGTCTCTTCTCACATAGCTAAAATGAACCTGCGTTAGTCAGGCAGAATACGCTTTATAAGGAAGCTTGCAAACAGAACACTAAAGGATATACATCATCATCTTATTTTTGGAATTGTGTTTTAGGTGTGTTCTGACAAGCAAAGAGTGTCAAATTCTAATATGATCCCCATAATATACATTTCGATGTTCATGTAGTTGTTTGTTTCAACATAACCACCAACAAAATGAAAGTTTCAGGAAGAAGTACCTTTTGCTTTTCATATTAAAGAAACTACTATTTCATGCCATTTCATAAGCATGCCAGTCTGCCAAACTTCCCAAAGTTCCTCATTGGTCCACTAATTTACTTCCTGTCACATTTTGCCATTATTTTTCACAAAAAGCGCCCCAAAAGAAGCTCTTGGTGGTAGGATACAGGCTTCACAGCTCCATAGCTCTTGACAACATATCTTGTGATAATGATGCCTGGGGCATTGAGAGTGTCTTTCCCTTTGTGTGACTCTGTGTGGCTAAGCAGAACCTAGAAATCATCATAGCTAATAAGGAGGTGACACCTCTTAATGTAATGCAGATTCTTTTTACTCATTACATTAACTGAAGCGGTTCCATTGTAAGAACTAGGACTCTTTCAATATTTCCCATGCTTTTTTTTGATAGCTCTAGAAGCTATGTCAGTGAAAAAAAACTGAAGCTAGAAGAAGGAAGCTAGTCAAGGACCAGGCAGCTGGAATGTTTTACTACACAGTGCATTTCCAAGAGCTCTTTTTCATCTCATCCCCAGCTTTATTGGCTACCTCTCTCTGGGGAAGACCTTAGAAATCAACATATTTGATGGGGAATGTGCAAGAAATAAATACTAAAGGGATTAGTTAAAACATTACATAGCACTTAAATCTGAACAAGGAAAATACATTTTAGGACTTAAAAAAAAAGTCAAAGAGGAATTTAGCAACAATAACAAATTGGCAACAACTTAAAAACCTGTGGCTGCCTTTATCACTAGCCTGTCAAGATGAAACAAAATTAATGTCTCCCAGCAGGGAGCAGCTGTATTCATATCATTGAAGCTGCTTGTTAGTGTTGATGCTTTGGTACATGTTGTTTGGAATAACATATACAAGCCTTGAAACAAATTTCCCAGCAGTAGTATCCTTGTATAGACTGAATAAAGGTTATTTTCTACAGGGAGGTATCTTATAAGAAAAAACAGTAGGGGAGGCCATAGAAGTGAGTGGATCCTATGGTGCTTTTTGTATTTAACAACAATCAATGGGTTTTATGGAAAATCATTGAGCAGAATGTGAGCTGCAAGCTCCTACCCCATACTGATGTTATTTATAACCTTAGTCTTAAACTGCAGGAAAAGTACACTTCCGTCCTTTGGGGAATACATTAAAAGTATAAAGAGCAGATAAAAAGACAGCATTTCATGGATCACCAAGAACAAAATCCACTTAAATGAGTTTAGAGTTGGTTTCTTGGCTTTTCCTGATGGAGGAGGACTCATAAGGCATTGCCCAAGAGGAAAAAGCTCTTACCCAAGTGCCTTTGTTATCTCATGCATAAACATGGGATTAGTGCAACACACATGCATGCTCAGGGTCTGCTTCTGACGACTTAACCCAGATCAACTTGAACACAGCCAAGGCTGAGTCTGTTGGTGCCCATTTAATCTTGGAGGGGCAGGGTAGGCCAGGTTCTCTCTGCCCTTTTCTGAGCCACCAATGCAGCTGGGGCTTTTCAAATGTGCTTTAAAAGCTGTCTTGGAGAGAGAATCATTCTTTTGAGGGGATGAGATGGCTAATTTTTTTAAAAAACATGGGGTTTTTTTGTTTGTTTGTGTCTTGTTTTTAAATCATTAGAGTCATCTCTGGGCAGAGATGGTGAGAGTATTAACACAAATGAGGACTGCCAGCTTTACAGCCTTTGCAGACAGGAGAGGATGACTTGCTGCACAGGAGGGGCCTAGAGGAAGTCCCAACCTGTGTGTGTGTGTGTGTGTGTGTGTGTGTGTGTGTGTGTGTGAACCAAGACCGCCTTGGTGGTTCTGAGTTGACAAGAGTTGCCAAGCTGGGACCTCAACTGTGTGGTTTCACAACTTCATCTCCATTACATATTACCAATCTTAACATATCACTACTCCCAATATTGATTTTGAACACAGCTCAACTTTCCCCACCCAATGAAAAAAAGCTGGATCTTCAGGATAAACATGGCCTGGCTGGATGAGGTGACAGCATGCAGGCACAGATTACCTGCAGATGGCCGACTGGCTGTACGCGGGGCCCTCTGTGGCACTGAGGGCCTGACCCACCTGAGTCTGGGTCAGGCCAAGGGACAGGCGTCGGATTTTAAAAGCTTTGGCAAATTCTCGGATCTCCTCCAGATTAACCCCATCCACCTCACCCGCTGCCGTTTGAGGATCTGTGGAAATGTTTTTAAAAATAGGATCAACATGTCAACATGTAACTGAATCATTGCTGTTTATTATCGGTTTTAAAGAAAGTGGCTCTTGGAGGAAAGTGGATGTTCTGTTTCCCAGGTGAGGCCCCGAACCCGATCCTCAACTCATTACACCTCCATCCATCATCCTTGGAGGTGCTTCTAACCCCAAGAAATCCACAGTGAGCGGTTTTATTTCACAACACAAAAGCATGTTTCTTTTGCCTGTAAATGTGTTCAGTTGTAGAAAGAGATAAAAATTGATGGGTTTTGATTGGTAATATCCTTTCCCTCCTCAATTTGAAATATCTTGATTAACATCTTTAGTCTTAAAGAAAATAATCCTAAAGGAACTCTATTTGATATTTTTCCTTTATCTGATCATTAATGAAGCCAGGCTAGTACATGGTCTAATTCCTGCTATCGAGCCAATTCCTTGCATAGTAACATAGGACAGAGTAGAATGGCCCCATCAGGTTTCCAGTGCTGCATTCTTTACTGAGGCATATTGCCGTATCTTTCTTCTGCAGAGCAGCTAGTGGGTTCGAACCACTGACCTTTTTGGTTAGATGCTTGGTGCTTTATTTACTGCGACACGAGGACTCCTTCAGTGCACAGCAATGTTGGCTAAATCTTACGTTTGCATGAGTACCTTGGAAGAGTATGTTTATGAAGCTGTAAAAGCAATATTGTCCTTTTCTCTCCTCCTCCCCATAGCCGTTTACTGACACAAGCTGCCTTTGTTCCCTGAAATGGCACATTTTAAAAAAAATGCCTACCACAGGAAGGCTTCTTTGCTGCCGGATAACTCGGTCAATTTATGACTTACCAAGGGAAATGGCACAACAGCTGGAGAATGAAACTCCCCCACCTTGGCTGCTGATCACTGGATAAATGAAAGCGTGCACCAGGCTGGGGCCAGCATGGGACAGGGATGGCGAAAGATTTCAAAGTGTTGCTCAATCTTGCTTGTAGTGAAGCCATTCTCCCAGCGAGCTGCCTCTATTGTTCTTCACCTCATTCCTTACACTTAGGTGAAAAGGTTTCCTTTCCCTTTTTTCTGCACAATAGCCCATCAATTTCAGTGAATTCTGGTACTTGTCTAGGGACTACGTTGGACTGTATTAATCTTCTGGGTTTAAGGCTATGGAAACTCCTGTTACCATGACAAAAAAAAAAAAAAAGGAAACATTCGTACCCTAAGTGTAAAGAACCTTTAAATAAAGACATCAACATTTGTGGTGAACTGGGAGCTACATATACAGATGTGAAACTGAAGAGAGATTATGCAGATAGAATCTGCAATGTCTGTGCTACTATACCTATATCTTCACACTTAAAAAAAGCACCCAAACCCTCTTGCAGACTTTGTAAGTCTTTAGCCATAATTTTGTTGGGAAATGACTGAAAAAGTAACCTGGATCACTGCAATTGTGTTACACTGCTAACTCAAAAGTTAATGTGTGCATAGTTAATAGTGGGAAAAGATGAGCAATCTGCTTCTTTTAAGATTTACAGCCTCAGAAACCCAGTGGAGGCTCACCGTGAGTTGGCATCTACTTGACAAGTAGGTTTTAGTTTTTGACTGGGTGTCCTAACTGATGTACGGAAGCGACAACAGAAATATAAGAAGCAGCTCTTGCATCTATGACATTAATAGTGTATAGAGGTTGGGAATCACTATAAATGCATAAAAAATTACTAGACAGAATGGAACCAAAGACTTATGTTGTGATAATTATACCAGAATGAGCAGAGAAGAAAGAAGGGATGAGGAGGGGGGGCTTTATCTGGTCCCTTCGCAGGGGGGTAGTTTTTGCAGAATGTCATTAATTGCCACCGACTTGGCTACAACTCACAGTGGCCCTGTGAGAGTCCTAGGGACTCCATTGGGTTTTAATTTATTGCCAACTCTCTCTTCTCAGGCACCTGTGAGTAGACTGGAAGCACCAACTTTCTGAGCCAGGCACTCCTTTCAGAGACTAGAGGAGGGATATTATAGTCAGTGCAGACCAGCACAGACACAGGAAGAAACATAGCATTGTGGGGCTGGAAAGGACGCTGATGGAGTAGGGAGTGTGGGCTGGAAAAGTGAAGATTTCACTGATACACAGTTGGCAATTTCTGTGTATGATGGTTGGGGATGGAGTTAGGAAATAATGAAGTTTGTCTTGCTGTTAATGATTAATTAAAATCCTTGCCTCCTAAGAATTTCCCCCAGAAGGAGGACAATGTTTTTGTTTCTGACTTATTTAGGTTGTCTCTCAGAGGCTGCCTAGCAGCTCTTAAAGCCCAACAGCACATCGGTCAGGGAAAGGTCAGATAATTGTGGTGTTACTATTTCATGAATAGTTGGGGACAATGAAGAGAAACTAGTTTTAATCAGGTTGGGGGTTGGTGCAAATTAGGGAGAATGGAAAAAAAACACTAATTAGAGGAGAGGAGGACACTGGGTACAGAATGGTGCAGTGGGAGAGAGACATGGCTTCTCTCTGACAGACAGGGGGTCCTTGACCGTCTTGCAAGTGGGAACTGTAGAGGCTCAAAACAGAGGAAGAGAAATGAAGACAAAAGCTCTTTTGGGAACAATCTGGCTTGTAGGACTGTGGCTTTTGTTGGTGGACGTATGTATGAATCACCTGGTAGAGCCCAGGCATGTGCATCTCTGTCAAGTACCAAAGGTGATCCTGACAGGACCACAGCCCTCTCTAAAATCCTTCTTGGAGCCAGATCCATCCTGATTTAGTCTGGTGTGGTGTCTCTTCCAAAGCACTACCTTTTCTTCAACCCTGTGATCATGACTAATATGTACCTCGTCTTCAGCTCTAATAGACTTCACTGAGTTAAATGGTATAGAGGCCCAAGATTTTAATATGAAAGGAGTACAATTGCAATTTTATAAACTCCTTGGCCATGCACATCAAATACCAACCAAAAGTTTGGCTATTTGGTCTACCCAATGCATATTGGAAGAAGGGCTTGGTGAGATACTTCCAAAAGGTAATAGCCACCCATTGAAAACCCCAGAGAACATTTCTCTGAAATGCATGGGCCCCCATGACTTGGAACGGACTTGACAGTACTTGGCTTTACTCAAGTGTAGGGTTTTTCCTGTCCTCAGACTTAATGGTATAGCAATGGACAATTACGGATTGGTTATAATTTAATGCCAATCATATATACTGTATTTCTTTGAATACAGTATTGTATTAATAAAGAAATGCTGTCTTTATTTTCTGTCTCCTAATTAGTTTCCCAGCACTAAGAATTAACTTTGTGTGTCTGGAAGTCCAGTGACAAATAATCAGTCCAAATAACTTTTAATGCCAATGCATTGAACAGTATTGAGTGATTTATCAACAGTTTTATTCTAATACTGAGTGAGCTGCAATCCAACTGACCACATGCCTTCAAGAAGTTCCCATTCATCACTTAATCACATCCGTCACACAGGAAGAGGAATTCTGTTTTTCTTCCCTCATTTATTTCCTTCTTGTCACCTTTTACATATAGAAGCTATAAGACAGGAATTGTGGTGAAATTGAAAGGGGGTGATGGACTATTGGTAAAGACTCTGGAAGGAAAGCTTAGCATCTCTTTGTGTAATTTTTTGATTATCAGTAGTGAGCCTCCCACTGGATAGAAGGATGTAAGCTTTATAGCTATGTTCTCAAGAATGAAAGTCAGGTGGAAAATGGGATTGTGTGGTTCCACCCCGGCACCTGCCATGGTTTCCATGACTACAAGTCTTCTTAATCCAAATGGAAGTCCACTCCTGGACAAATAGAAGTTTCATCTTGATTATAATGTGTGATGTTTGTCTTTACACACTGGGAAAATGCATTTGGGGGTCTCTGGAAGAGTTTTCAAACTAATCAGGAAATTAATGATATTATTTTAACCTCCAAATTTCTTGCCTTAAACTCTTGAGGTTCAAATAACCAGCCATCCTTAAGGGATATATACTTTACTGGTTGAGGATGAAAGCAAGAGGTGAATTGTAGTAACTGGAAGTTTTCCTACAATGTCTCTTTAAATAACCTGAAATTTAGTTCAGCAATCATAATTTTACCTTGTGATACATTAAACTGTATCTATCGTCCATTCTCCTGGCTTCAAGGAGGCTGGGTTAATGTTAAGGATACATTTGAGGCCATCTTGACGGAAACCTCAAATGGGAACTTTAGATCCCCAAAAGGTATATTCAATATCTTTAGGAAGATGACAATTTTTAAAGAAATTTGTTCCACATTAAGTCAGTCCAGTGGTTTGAATGCATGGTCAAAAAGCAATAGCCACAATTGCCAGGGTCCACCTAAATCTTATCCTCACCAGGGGACTCAGAATATCAACCTGTGGAGGTATTATCTCACCTAGAGATTTAGTACAAATTAGCACCATAACTTGGTAGTAACTTGAAAGTAAAGTGATAGTATTTCTCAATAATGATAGGGAATGTGTGGACTGAAATAAAAAAAAAATTATGGGGCTGAATGCAAACTGTTTAAGAACAAACTGTTTCATGGGACGGGTTGCAGGGCCACTGGTTCTGACTGAAGCAAGTGCTAAGGGTGGATCAGGACGGAGTTTGTTTTTTAATTTTAGCTTCTCCTGTTAGCTTGGGCATGGCTATGAAGGGTTGCTAACATGGCTGAGCATACACCTTCATCTTTCAATGACCCATACTTGTGGGAGAAAATATGCATCTGTAAAGAAGTTGTCCAGTATGAATGAATTGTCTTAACCATCCATTGGCTTTACAGTTATACACCTGCAGCAAGTATTGAGTCTATTTACCAAACATTTCTGTGAAATAAGGAACCATTTCTAATATGTGGTGCCATCTGAGGGTACAGCATACTTGCAGTATAGTGACGCCATTGGGTTGTAGAAAATGATGTGAATTGTGAACCTATGAATCAGGGGCTTCCTTGTCCTATAAGCTATCATTGGGCATTGCCACGTTCACTTCATAGCTTTGGATTTTCTGGGACTAGCTATCAAGTCCTTTGTTGTCTAAAGACGAAGCTTACAAGCCAAGGGTTTTTAAAGTAGTGCAACATAAAACCAAGCCTAGAAAACAAGCAAAACCTCCAGTTCTACAATACCTGTTTTAAAATAATACACTGTAAACCTTCAATCAAATGGAGACACTTGTCATTTGTTTGGCTTTTCCAACAGACTGTCCAAAACACTCCGCTTACAGAAACTGTATCCCCTGATGAGACTGAGCAAATTTTAACACAGGCCAGGTGCTGGGAACAAGTGCAGAAGCTTTAAGCAATACTTGCTAATTCTGAGGCCAGAGGTGGTGGTCTTTGCATATGAAAATCACACTATCATTACTAAGGCATTAAGGCTGCATTCCTTTGCTTGGGATGGAGATTTTTGTATAATTCACTCTAGTTACTCCTGGGCAGTGGCAGGTTGGCCAGCTCCAGGGTTAGAGTCCATGACTGTATCTGCTGTTATTGTACTTCTGTTTCTTTGACATCGGCTCATGCTCTCCTCAACTCAGGGACTCCACCTTGCTTTTCTGCTTGCTTACCTGCTATCTCTGTGCCTGGCATATACGTGGTGCTCAGGATGTGTTTTTTTCTTTTTCAGTTGACTGCATCCTGTGAGTATGGCCTTTCCCCACTTCCCCCTGCAGTTTAACCTGTGTAACAATTACATCTGAAATTCACGCTTGGGTTACCTAGATTTTTTTTTAAACCACTTAAAAATACTTTATATGTTTAATATACTTTATTGTTCAAAAGTCACTGGATTAAAAAAAAATCTATGCATAAGCAGTGGTCTGCTTTGAGTCAGACACCTGGTGTTCCTTCCTGGCTCTGCTTTCCATTAGCTTTACCATACAGGGAAAATCATTGTCCTCATGGAAAAACTGAACCTGGATCCTCTGACATAGAATGGTCAAGGTGGGCTAACTTTTCAGCATCTGCTTAGTGCCAGTCTCACAATCTGAAAAACGAAGACTTACGTGACCTTATTATGAATATTAAAATGACTAGAACACTGAAAGTGCTCTGAGAGAACCCCATTTTACCAATTAAAGCTCTGGCAGAGCTTTGCTAGGTTAATTAGCATCAGAAAATGATCCATTTATTACCAACATTGACCAAAGAACCATCAATAAAATTACCACCAATTTCTCAAAATTACTAGCAATTCATCCTGTAGGTAGATTTTGAGACAGAAAGGAATCAGCTGAGCAATAGGTTAAATACCTATAGGAATTTTTCCCAGCGGAGCAATGTGTTTGCTGTGCCATCTGACTCTTTGTGATATTGCTACCCAAATCCCCTAAACCTCCCACCCTTGAATCTGCTCCAGCTCAAGGGGATCCCATGCGTGGAGAGAGAGTCAGACTGCACCCCACAGGGCTGTCAGGGTCATGCAGTTTCAGAGGCAGATCACCAGCTGTATCTCCTGATGCACCTCTGGGCTGGTGCAAACCATCAATCTTTTGGTTAGTGGTCAAATGCTGAACTCTTTGTGTCATTCAGAGACTCGTGGTGGTATTGCTAGACCCTCCCAAATAGCTAGGGAAGACCACATAGAGTCAGTGAAAGATATCCATTCAGTTGCTGATTATGGAGTTTTCTGTTTCGAAGGCATGTGATTAAGGCTTCTTTCACCCTTCACATCAAGGATTGCACTATAGCTTTCTTAAAATAAATCTAGGGGATTTCTGGTCTTGTAGTCTGCAGGGAGTTGTGCCTCCCTGGTACTTTGAAGCCACCAGGGGCACTGAAGGAGAAAGATGAGCAATCTCCTCCCATGTGATTTACAGTCTTGGTAACCCAGTGGAGGGTCAGCTGTGGATCAGTTCTGATTAGGTAGCAATGAGTGAATGAGGGAGTAATATAGACTTTGAACTTAGATATCCTGTTGGAAACTATGCAATTGAAATTCTATCTGGCCCATCAAGCACCCCTGAAGCTTGGCAAGTTCTTCATTTCTGAAAAGGACTAATCTTTCCCAGTCCAGCTTAGACACGTGACTAAGAGAGTATCTGGTCTCATCCATTTCTCTGTCTGCTGCCTGTCTGTCGTCCATCTGTCATCCAACATACATTGAGTGTTCTCTTTGTGTAAAATACTGCACTAGCATGGTCAGCTGTATTTTTATTCTTAGTTATTAATTTATTGTGATTTGAGTGAAGTATTGGTTCAACAATCCTTTTAGTTTTATGACATTTACTGTAATATCCACATTGTACCCTTACCCTCCCCACATCCTCTCTGTGGTTCTTCTTTCCCTTCATCCTTCTATTTAATAACTCTCTGCCTTCTGAGCTTCAGCCTGTGGCAAATGCTGCCACTTTGAAAGTGGTTGATTGTTCTGAGGAATGAATATATCCCTAGCATTATTGTTCACCTTATAGGTCTGTCTATTGGTTAGATGCTCTACTTATATTTTACATTTAACATATTTCTTCTCTAAAATATAGTTGACCTAGATCCCTTTTCTTTAAGGACCAAGGGAGCTCTGGTGGCTTAGTGGTAAGAAGCTGAGCTGCAATCCTAAAGGCATGCAGTTTAAATCCACCAGCTGCTCCTTGGGAGAAAGGCGGACACTCTCTTTGCAAGTGATTAACTGCCTCTGAAAACCTGCTAGAGGATCAACTACAGGTTGGTTCAGACTCAATGGTACAACAACTACAATAAGGTACCTTTTCTTAAGGACCAAAATTTAGTGGTCTGTCTTACGATTTTTGTTGTCATTTACAGAATATTTCAAGATACTTTGTGCCAAATAGTGAGTTAGAGCAAAGTATGATTTTTTTTTTTAGAATGAGTATTCTATTTGAAACAATACTTTCAGAAGGATTGTTTTTAACATTTTTTTAACATTTCATATTTACCAGACAACATTTTAAGTGCTTTCATGAATGAACTCATTCTATTCTTTCAACCTTGTGATGTGGGTGAAACAAGAGAACAACCAAAGAAGGTATTCCTGGTGAGATGGAGCAAAGCACTCAGTTTCGGGTCTGGTGGACCACAGAGCCAGGGCTGTGCTTTGTCCAAAGTGAAGAGATAATGCTAACAACAATTAACGGCTAAATTTATAGCAAATTACAATGTCCCAGGTACTCTTTAATACCTAAAACAAACTTATCAAATAGATGCTATTGGAGAAAACTCAACTATAGTTAAATTCATTTTACTTACGATTTTATTAAAATAAAACTAGAGTTTCTGGCCCAAACAAAAGGGTTTATATATTTAAAAACCTAAAATAACACATGAATGGCAATCCCCAATTGTCCTTTGAAACCATTTGATGCTGATCTCTCTTTAAGGAAGAACATCTAGCCTAGCCCATTGAAGTGCCTGGGAATTTTAATGTTTAATTACAATCTTTTATATTCTTCCTTATTCCATAGGCATTTCCCTGCTTGAATGAGCCATATAAAGCTATGGAGGGAGGACATCAAAGCTACCACTTTTTTTTGGGGGGGGGGTTTGTTTCCTCTTACATGAGGTCGCCTTTTATGGTGTAGATACTAATGGGATTTGATCTTCAAAGGACTGACTTACAAGTTCTGTGGTCTTACAGAGAGGCAAAAATTGCACCAGAGATAATAGACATTAGATCCTTGTTTCACTTACTTTACACTCTTCTATTTGCTTCTATAAAGAAACTATCTTCATGTAACCACAAATAAGATTTCCATATATATTCTATCATCTATCTATTTGTCTGTCTATCTGTCTATCTATCTATCTATCTATCTATCTATCTATCTATCTATCTATCTATCATCTATCTATCTATCATCTATCTATCTCCCCTACTAGAGGAAGCCCGCTAGCAGGCTTATTTTATGCCCTGAATGGTAGTTCACATATTTCCCATCTGCGCCCAGCCAGGGCAGCTCCCCTGACATGCCCCTGGAGGCCGCTCATTGTGCACACAAACCCACCCGCCCACATGCACGCTCGCTTTTATTTCCTCTGACACCTACAAATAGAACGGCAGGGGACTTCAAGCGTGCAGAAAAGCAGCTTGACCTGCCGACTGAGTGCCTGTTGTTGGTTATTTCAGCTCTGAGCTGTGTGGCTCATGCCCTGCAAGCTGATAAGTTTCTACTTTCTGAAGTGGCAGGACTGACTCAGCACATCAAGCAGCTGCTTCCCTCCCATCACTACCCCCGGGCACTTCATCTAGTCTGGTGTGCTTTGAGGGGGATCTCTCTGGTCTTGAACACCAACAGCATCTAATATTGGCCTAGTTTGTCCTTTGTAGCATAGCCAGGAATCCCTCTTCAGGAGAGGGAGAGAGACACACTCAGACACAGAGAGAGGGAGGCAGAGAAAGGAGAAGTGGGGAAAGGCAGGGAAGGGAGGGAGGAGGAAGGGCGTGCAGGGAAGAGATTAGACATAGACAATAGCAAGGCCACAGTGATTTAAACCGAGCCAGAAAAGATACTTACTGCTGACTAACTGGCCCACACTCAAAGCTGAAGAAGAGGAGGATGAGGAGGAGGAAGAAGAAGCCTGCCGGACGGGACTTTGAGACATGGAGGCTTGGCTGTGAGCCAGGTGAAGAAGGTTCCCTTGGGAGGCTGCTTGCCCCACTGTCGTCTGGGAGGGTTGATGGAGCTACATGGGGTGGGAGGGGAATGTAAAAATAAACAGATCAATGGAAAAATCAAGGGACAGACTCCAAAGAAGCAGAAGTTTCAGATGGAGTTAGTAGAACTATCTTATTTCCATGGATATATACTTCTCAGGAAAAGTTCAGAGTTTATGGAATAGACAAAGCTTGACAGGGATTTTTTAGTAATTCTAAGTATATTATGAATTCCCTGCTTGGATTGCCAAAACACCCCATTTTCTGCATTTCTTGACCACAGTGTGTGGGTTAGATGCTTTCTGCTACATGAGTATAGCAGATTGGCAGGTTTCTCAAATATGGATAGGCGAAATATAGTCCCTACAATCAATGTTGAATGCAAAGCTCTATCTTACAAGTGTGGCTGTATCAAACCATTAAATCCTCTGTCACTGGGATTTAGAGAACATTCCAACTTAGGCTGAGTGTGTTTGATATAAGAACCTTTGGTTCTCCCAGACAGAAGAGATGGATTGACTACTGTGGAGTTGGGAAAATGTCCTTTGATATCCTAAAGAAAATGAAGGAAAAAGTTAAAAGAACCAAGACTAACCAGTTGATGCTCATTCTTGGAGAAAAGAAACAAACAAAAGTATTAAACCAGTTGCAATGGAATCAATTCAAGTTATGATGACCCCATTTGTGCCAGAGGAGAATTGGTTTTAATTGCTGATTTTGGGGAAGTAGATTGCCAGTCTTTTCTTCCAAGGTGCCTCTGGATGGATAAAAACTTCCAGCATTTTGGTTAGCAGGTAAGTTCTTAACGATTTTCATTGAAACCCCATTCCAGCTCCCCTGCCAGGACAAATGCAGCTAGTAGTAGTATAGCTTCTAGGTAACTGCCTTTTTACTCTGTAGAAGTCACTGTGTTAAGGACATTCGGCCTTCATCTCATTTAATTCTCTCCTCAGCCTGTGATGTGGGTACTGTTTTTACTTCTCCTTCACAGATGAAGAAGCTGAGGTGCAGACATGTTAAATGAATTTATATGTTAAATGGATTTCCAGATTCTTCTAGGTATTTAGCTGTATAGCTGATCTCACTCAGGGGTCTAAGCTTTTAGTCACAATGCACAGTCAAGAATGAAACATTTTTATGCACGTTTATTCACCACTTCCTTTTTAGAAAGAGATGAGGTGCTGAGCTGAGGAGAGGAAAGAGAAAGAGGAGTGATTCTAGGGCACTGGGTGATCCAGTCCAGGCACTGATCTTGGCAGTAGCCACTTTCCATGGCAGGGCACTTCCTGCTCCCCCCGGGGCCCAGCACTTTTTGGTTTTCAAAGTGCTTTCATATCCACCACCATTTTGATGGAGGGATGCAGCTGCTGTTCGCTGCTGCTGGGTTGACCCCTGAGCCCTGACAACATCTGGCACAAAAGAAGGAAAAGCTGCCCGACCCTGTGCCATTGTGCCATCCACAGGGTGTTTGCGAATTGGACCACAGGGACTCACAGGATTTTCATTGGTTGATTTTTGAAGGCAGGTATCCAGGTCTTACTTCCCAGTCCACTTCAGTTCAGATGCTCTGCTGAAATCTACTTTGCTCCTAGTAACATGCAAGGTCCCACTAATTGGTTGGTTGGTAGAGCATGAGGTAGTGCACTGGTTAGGGGTTAAGCCCAGGTCTCATGCATGGTGTGGCAAGGTTTTTTTTAAAAAAGGGAGTCAGCCTGGGAAGAGAGAATACCAGAAAACATTCACCAATCCTTGATCACCCTCTTAGCATCTAAGGGCCAGTTTGTAGTTTAAAAGTCATATTTGTCACTGCTTTCCCTCTGTGTATATGTATGTGTTCATTGATTTCCGTTTTATTGCTGTTGTTAAGTGCCATCGAGTCGTAGATGACTCAGCAAGCCAATGAACAAAAGACTTGAACACTTGTATAACTTTCATTATTTCTCCAAGTTCATAGAGTTTCTGGAAGCAAGCTATTTGGAAGTGGATGCCACTCCTCCTTCCAAGCTCCAAGCTTATTTTATTTGGGGAGTTCAAACACTGTCTACTATGGGTAACCATTATCACATTTGACACATCAGTGTCACAGTGTTTAGCATCACAGCAACCACGAGTTACCTCTATACAGCAAATGGACAGACCAGAGCTATACCACTTAAAAGAACACTTGACCATAACCAATTAAAACCAGGCCTGAGGGCCACAGATTAAAATCACCTGATTTTGGCTTGGTAGCACCGCTTTCTATCCACTAGGCCTACAGAACTCTCTCTATGTTGATGATGTTGTTAAGTGCCATTGAGTCGTAGACGACTCTCAGTTTTATTAAGACATAAATTTATACACACTAAAGTGCATTCCTTTAAAGCATAAAGTTCTAAGGGGTGTTTATCAAATGAAATCACCATTACAGTCAAGATACTTACCCTATTAATGTACAAATTTTCCTCATCTCCCTTACAATCAATTTAACCCAGTTTCCAGCCTCAGACAGCTAACTTCTCTGCTCTCTGTCTGCATAGATTTGTTTGGGATGGCTCTAGTGGTAGAATCACATGATATGTATCCTGCTGTTTTTGTTTGGCATACTGTGTTAGAGGTTTATCTATTCTGTTATAGGGATCATTGTCGTTGTTAATATGGCATTCAGCTGACTATGACTCACAATAACCCTATGAAGAACACTTCTGAAACTTGCCCTGTCCTATGTTATCCTACAATTATTGTGTCAATCCATCTTGTTGAAGATCTTGCTCTCTTTCTCTGACTCTCCACCTATCTTAAGAAGATGTCTTTTCCAAGAACTGGCCCCTCCTGACAACAATGCCCTGAGTATGTGAAATGAACTTGCCTTTAAGCACCACCTTGGTTGTACTCCATCCAAGACAGATTTGTTTGTCCTTTTGGAAGGACTCTTTTCCAACACCATCAATTCAAAGGCATTGTGACTTCTTGGATCTTTCTTATTCATTGTCCAACTTTCAGATGCATATGAAGCAATTGAAACACCATGGTTTGTATTAGGCTCACCTTATTCTTTAAATTGATATCCTTGCTCTTTTGCTACTTTTAATTTCAGAGTTGTATTCTATTGTGGATAAAGTACTGATTGTTATTTTTTAATTTCTTTTTAAAATATTTATTTTATATTGGTTTGCTTACAAAGTTCATGTATTTTGTGTTTTACACTATCTTTTATTCACATGAAACACGAATAGTTTATCCACCCATCTGTAGATGGATGTTTGAATTATTTATAGTTTGAGCTATTAAGGGGGGTTACTGAAAAGGCATAGATATTTATGTAAAAGTTTTTGTATATACTTGTGTTTCATTTTTCTCCCTCCCTCCCTCCCTCCTTTCCTCCCTTCCTCCTTCCCTCCCTTCCTTCCTTCCTTCTTTTCTTTCTATCACAAGTTTTAATGACCATGAATTTGTTCCTATCATAGTGTGGGTTTAAGAGTCTGAATTCAGGGCACTGGCACTAGGGAGAGGTTTGCAGCTCCAGGTAAATAGCCTATCTTTTCATTATTTCTTAAGGAAATATCTAGGAACGGAATTACTGGAATATACAGTAAATACATTTTCAACTCTCTGAGACTACTCAACTGAGTTTCCAGAATGATTATACTATTTTCTAATCCAACTAGCAATATATGAGAATTCTAGTTGTTTACCAACTCATTGCTGACCCTCCAGTGGGTTTTCAGAGGCTTCCAGTCACATGGGAGGAGACTGCTCATCTTTCTCCCAAGGAGCAGCTGGCAGATTTGAACCACCTTACCACCAAACCACCTTGTAGAAGATGAGCAATCTCCTCTCATGCAATTTACAGCTTCTAGAGGAAGCTCTGGTGGCTAGTGGCAAGAAACTGTCCTGAAATTCCAAAGGCATGAGGTTCGAAGCCACCAGCTCCTCCATGGGAGAAGGGTGGGCAATTTCCACCTGTGCAATTAACTACCTCTGAAAGCCCACCAAAGGGTCAGCTATGGGACACTTCTAGTGCTTACAATTCTCTGTTCAGTTCTTGTACAACAACAACAACAACAACAACAACAACAATAGAGGATCAGCTATGAGTTGATCCCAACTCGATGGCACATAACAACACAATAACAGCAACAAGTTGTTTTAAATTTTCTTTTTTTATTAAATTTTATTAATTTTAATGACCATTTAGAGAGATTTTGGATTTCCATTCATTCATTGTTGCACTATTTTCTCTACCCTTCCCCCCAGTTCGTTCCTCTTTTTCCCCCCCTTGAAAGTCTGTTTTAATTGTCCAATTGCCACAGTGCTTGTCAAAGCCAGTTCTGATTAATCTCCTTTGACAGTGTGTCCTTTGCCATTCCCTATCACTCCTCCCTGAGAGAGACTTCACCCTGATTCATAAGGAAAAGGGGACGGCATATTCTCTTAGCTGCTTCCTGCTGAAAAGGGACCCTGTAGGTTTGTTTTACATTTTCAAATTAAGATTTGAGATTGTCAGTTTTTGCAATTTCCTAGAAATCTTTTACCTTCTTCCCTTGTTAACCTTTCAGACTCCAAACTCATCGCTATTGAACTGACTCATAGCTGATCCTTCAGTGGGTTTTTGGAGGCTGTAAGTGACATGGGAAGAGATTGCCCATCTTTCTTCAGTGGAGCTGCTGGTGGATTTTAACAGCCAGAGAGGTACCCTCTTTGGGCTGGCTGCACAACTCCCTACCACCTATGCCACCAGAGCTCGCTTGCTTAACACACTAGCTTTAACACACTTGTTAACAAATTGTTTTTTTCGAACAATGTGTTATTAATTTCCCCCTCTCCCCCACCCCTGCTTCTTTGTGGCATTGCATTTGCTCATCTGATCCCACATGACATCCCAAGATGTAGATGTCTGGTAATCATGAGAATTTTAAATTTGAAGACTCCAGGTAGAAGACTGTCCCACAGTCATGCTGCTGAATGGTAGAACCCAGTTCCTCAATCCTTATTAAAAGTTATTCCCAGGATGCCAAATTGTCCCTTTCACAGAATTGCCTGCAGGTAG